TAATGGAATAATGGGGAATTCATGTAGGTAAATGTATAATAAAAACCAAATTATAGTGAGATATCAATGAAAAAATACATTATTCAATGCGAGATATAAATAAAAAACAACCATTCAATATGAGATATATACGAAATAATAATACAATGTGATATATAAATGAAAAAAATCAATGCAAGTTGAAAATCAAAAAAAAAATACATTCAATCTAAGATATTAATGAAAAAAGACATTTATTGTAAGATAAAAATGAAAACAATAGTCATTGTACGAAAAAAGGAAAACATGATGCATTCATATATTATCAAAAATATTAATTGCTTAATACCTTCATTTTGAGATAAAAAATCAGTTAATATATTCAGTGTGAGGTATAAATAATTCAATGTATTCAATACATCTTTTATGAGAACATGCCAAATGTAATGGCGAATTGTCACGTCTCTGTGGTCACATCGTTTCTCATAGCTCTGAATCTGCCATTAGTTACGTAATAGACGTTCTTGAAATGTTGCACATTTGCATTTTACTCACTTTCATCTTTTTTTAAGAATCAATTGCGGAAATAGAATGCACATATTTCATCGTAATCTTGACATTTAAATGAATCCACGACAAGAGTTTATTTCTATAGTCTCATTTTTTACCTAGGAAGTAACCTTTTTATCAGGTTGTCAGACATGTAACTTGTTTACCCTAGTTCGCTGTGATACGTTGTTAAACATCTTATTACAGTATTACGTGTTTTGTATAAGGAGGCATTGGCCGTACCTAGAACAAGTTTATTGATGATTGTATCACTCAACCAGCAGACATGCTATATTGCACACAACTTAGCAGTATTGATATGATGTATTCACCAGGAACTATCAGCAGATAGGGAATTCTTTGGGATCTAATCAATATGCTTACATTCTAAACATGCAGACATCAAGCATACAAGTAAACGCGTTCTACGATGCATATTGTTTGAGCGATTAATTCAAAACTGTTCACTTTGATATTTAGAGCGTTAGACACGTGACTCATTGACATACAAATGCTGTCATTACCTAGCCAAACGTTTTTTAACGTTCACTGTACGCCTTTTTTTCCCATTCGGTAGATTACAACAGGGGGTATGCCACATACGGGTAACTATATGTATATGTTCAGATCTTTTATAGTAAGCCCAGAAACAACTAGTCATTGCCACCAGAGATACAACCAGCGCCGTTTAGAGCGCTCTAGGTTTGAAAAAGATAATCTAAATAAGGTTCCGTTAAATTTATACCGTCTACGTAATTCAACATGACAGTTTGGTACTAAGTAATTTATTATCAGGGCAACTAACGATGCATCGGGAATATAGCAGTTAACTCAATCATTATTAGATAATATGTAGATGGTCACCCCCAATTGGAGTAACTTATGGAGTCAGCGAAGGGCGTCACATTGCCATACAATTGTTGTTATATTCTGTGGCAATTTTAGTTGAATTTAAGCTCGGAAAAGGAATTTCTTGGAACAAACTAGTCAATTGCTATCGTGTTTGAAAAACGTGTTTACACATCTTTCTATGCTGGAGTTTGTATTGAGGGACTGAACTGCAAATCCCGGAACATTTATCAGGAAAGGATTTTGCGAGAGGGGGCTGTTTGTGGTCATACACGGTTATAAGTAGGGACAAGGTCGATTGTAAAATATTCCTTTTACATGTTATGGTGGTTTTGCTGTTAATGACGTCACGCAATTTTGACATCACGCTTTGCCATTGGTAGCATTTAACATGACGACTTACCATGCATGATCTAATATATGATCACTTCTACCTGTTCTTGTCTAATGTCTGAACGGCCATATACAAGATGCGATGATTGCATACGTACATTACTTCGAATGTGAAAATATGAAGTAAACATGAAGACATGGTTCTTGTTGTGTACCTTGTCAAGTGTTATATTTCTATTCACGACATTTTTTCGGGTATAATCCTCCTTTATATATTGGTGGGCAGGCTAAGACCAACATTAATATATTGGTTGATGCTCTTTTATACAATATATTTGTGGAATGTTTAAACAGTATGTCGCTTCATCATCAGAAATCGTTAACTACCGGGGAAACTGTTTGTAGAAGCGTGAACGATATGTATCGCTATTGGTGATTGTTGTATATTAAGATTTATATCCCATTAATCAATCACATACTTCTGTATCGAAGTCTGCACAAGTGGCAATATAATAGAAAGGATGCTTTGATATATATATATATATATCGGTAGAGAATATGTAGTTGATAGTTTTACAGCCTTGTAAACTTAACGATTCAAAACCAGAAAACAATAACAAGAGAAAACCGAACTGTCAAAAAATAAACAAATGATTAAAAAAAATCTCTCTATATATAGTAACGATATTTACTTCTTTACCAATTATCAAGTATTTCGGCCATTATCTATATAACGCCGATAACTGACTTATCATCTTATCATCTCCTTTTCTAATTATCTTTTCAGAATCGACATTTTACTTATCAACTCCTTTACGAATTATCTATACAAAACCACCAACTTATTTATCAACTCTTTTTCCAATTATCTATGTAGAACCGACATTTTACTTATCAACTCTTTTTCCAATTATCTATGCAGAACCGACATTTTACTTATCAAGTCCTTTGCCAATCATTTATGTAGAACCGACATTTTACTTACCAAGTCCTTTGCCAATTATATATACAGAACCGACATATTCCTTTGTTAATTACCTTTGTAGAACCAATATCTTACTTATCAATTCCTTTGTCAATTATCTATGTCAAACCAACATCTCACTTATCAATTCCTTTGCCAAATATAAACATATAGTAACGAAACCTTACTCATGAAGTCGTTTTCTAATTATCTATATAGCTCCGACAACTGACCTGCTAGCCCATTACTTATTATCTATATAGTATAAGGTCGACCGCCAATCGAACTAGCCAGACCTTTATTAATTATACAGATAGTATCGATTTGACGGTAACGCGTTAAAATGAAATGTCACGATAAACCTCTTTGAAGATGTTCCAATAATGATCTGAAAATGACAAGCTATTACCAGAAATTAAACCATGAATTCATGATTGTGAATGGGAATATTTTGCCGATAGTAAGTACGGACGAATAGTTCAATTGTTAATTTGTAGATTGCTTCCCCTTTACACGTAAGCACTCATGACAGATCAATGGATTATCCGGAGTGGAAGTAGAAATTGATCACAGCAAATGAGTAATGTTTTTCCAATGTAGACAAGCTCTATATTAAACAAATGGTACACGACAAAGGAGAAATGAGTATATGAGAATTGAATGGAATATTAGTCACACTTCAGCGACAAGCAACAAGTGGTTCTACGCTTCATTTACTTCTCAAATTAATCGTATACTGAAATAAACGATTCTGTCAAAGATTTGTTTGTTATCATCAAACTGTTTTTACATATAACAATGCTATATTGTGGGATCCAAAACGATCCTCATCTTGTTTGAAAATTAAAATAATTTCGATTGAAAAATCACTTTACCAGTTGTTAGGAGTCATTAAGCTAAGACTGTATGATCAACCGGACTCATGGGGTTGATTGAAGTTTAGAGAAGGGGATGAAAGGTCACGTAATAAAACAGTCATTAGTATACCTGGTGACCTATTTCTATAGCTGACATTTCTATCCGGTACAGATAGTGCAATATTCCTAGATGTAGAGCAGAATCAGCTATAACCTGAAATATCTAAAATCACCTCGATTATCAAATAGCTCTTCAAATATCGCCTCTAATATCAAATAACCCTTCACAGATCGACTTCAATATCAAATAACCCTTCATATATAGACTCAAATATCAAATAATTCTTCAAATATCGTCTCAAATATCAAATCACCGTTCACAGTCAATATCGCCTCAACTATCAAATAACCCTTTATATTTCGCCTCAAATATCAAATAAGAACTCAACTATTACCCCCAGTATCAAATATCACCTTAGATAATAAATTATTCCCTATAAATATTGAATACCCCCTTCAGTATCAAATATGACACCACATACCCTTCAAATATTTGCGGAAATATCAAATGACCCTTGAAATATTAAACAACACCTTCAGTATAAAATATTACCTCAAATATAAGACAACCCCGAAAAAATTGAAATTGACCTGCGCTACGAAAATATCACCTCAAGTTTTATATTACCCTACAAATATTTCAGAAAATATCACCTCAAGTTTTATATTACCCTACAAATATCTCAGAAAATGTCACCTCAAGTTTTATATTACCCTACAAATATCTCAGAACATATCAAATAACACCTGGAAGATTAAACAACATCCCCGGTATGAAATAATCTTTCAAATGTTAAATATCATCTTGATTATCTAATATCATTTCAAGTATCAAATAATACATGAAATATTTAATAACATTTTACATCAAATACCATTCTTGATTACAAATACTGCCAAATAACCCATCAAATATAAAATAAGCCGTCGAATATCATCTCTAATTTATTCCCAAATATTACCTCAAATTTCAAATGTTCCCACAGCAAAGTTATAATCCTCCAGTTTCGAATTTCATTTTATTAACGTGATTAGGTATATTCTGACGTCCAGGTCATTTGACATGTATCTATAACCTGTTGAAGTTCATCGTAGCAATATACATGTAGTAAGTTGATGCAGTTGTATTTTTGTGAATTTTTGTATGTCACGAAACACTAATGACCAACAAAAAAGAATAACGACACCGCCAACATATTTCCCCATAAATCCATATCGAAAAATTGAAACTGTCAACCGTTTTTGTATCATTAACCTAAGAAATATTCACCTTTTTTTCAGGAATAATTCTGCACAATGACAGGGAGACAATTACAGGCGACGTATCGCTAGAACAGTCACGTGAATCAAAGTATGCTGACGTGGAAACTCCACTTGAACTATTCCGACAACGTCGATCAACAAATGATACATCAGACAATAGCGGAACCGGAAATACCGGAAGTGGACAGAACGCCATTGAAGAATTCTATGCCGACAAGCACAACATGGCGATGTTCCTCATCTTGCCGTTGATAATTCTCGTTTATGGAGGCTGTGCGGGTATTTACTGTTTTTATAAGTTTAGACGGTATCTTAAGAAGCGCATCGTTGTTTATAAAAAAGAGAAACGAATCAAAATTTTAAAACGTAAAAACTGTATAGAAAGTAGTTCCTTCCATAACACAGGATGGACAGCAGCCACCAATGAAGTTCAATTCGGCAAAAGCATGCCTAACCTGCGTGAAAATAAAACCGATGTGTGTAAACGGCCGTCTACAGCACTGGCAGCGTGCGCCAGCATTGAAACACAGGAAGTCGACCAATTACTAGAAGAATTGGCAATCATAACGGAAGATAAACCTGTTACTAAAGCAAAAAAGCCAACAGCGGAAGTGACTCCTGTTGTTCAGGTGAGGCCACCTGTTCAGCGCGTACAATCTAAAATCATTGACAAACCTAAAGTCTCCAAAAGCCCACCAGTCGTTGTAGAGGTCAAGTCAATAGTTGATGACGACAAAATTAACAACAACGAGGACACATCACAATCGGATGCCAAGATAAAGAGGAAAAGTTTGATATTATCGGCAAGTGATATTGCAGAAATCATGAAGTATTACAACAACAAAAAGCACATGCCTAACGTTATTCCCGAGGACTCCGAAAATGATAAAGAGATTTGCCGTAGAGTGCGAAAAAAGAAAATTTTCTCAACGTAGTTGTCAAACACATGTTTGATATATTTGGTTGTAATGACATTTTTCATAAAATATCTAAATGAACTTTGAAAAAGAAACTAAAAAAAATATTTATCAAATCTAGTTTTGTCATATCAAATTATACCATAAAAGGTCGAGGTAACATTTAAGTGAAAGCATATTCTGTAAAACCTGAATAAATACGGAAGAGTAACAAAAACATGACAGAATATTTCATTGTTCTGCAAAGATTTTGTTACGAACTGTTTGTAAACTATCATAATGACTCCGAAACCAACTTTGATTCCAAAGTATCTGTACATATACTTTTTTTCAGGAACACTCTTAAACGTGGCCTCATCTTACGATGCTATGAATGACAACTGATGTGTCCTCAAAAGCAATTTATATTCACCTGTTGACCTTGCACAGCATGATCTTAATTTTTTCATTCATTTACCGTTCATTGCTTTCCCCTGGCTTTCGCCATAGGCTTTAAGATATCAATATCTAAATTGTAAGATATATATGTAAAAACCTGAAGAGCCCTGTGAAGGGTGTAAGCAGCTGTATTTTAGTCGGTCGTTAGATCTTTTTTTTTTCTATACTTACCTTCTTCACATGGACATTTATTATTTGTTTTATTACATATATATAATCAGTTGCGCTGTAAACTATGAAAGGAGCATGACCAGAAATCGCTGTTCGGTCAATGTCGTTTCATTGACGACACATATACCAAACAACAACTATATCAGTCATTTTAGAAAAAAAAATCAATAAAAAACACCCGGTACTACATTATATATAATATATATAGAAACATGGATTTAATGGAATGTTTTAATATTAATGCAGTACAAATGCAGAATTGTTACATTCATATTTAACATGTATCCCTCAGGGTATGAACGCAAACAGGTAACATCAATTTTTAACATGTATCCCTAAGGTTATGAACGCAAACTGGTAACATCCATTTTTTTAACATGTATCCCTAAGGGTATGAACGCAAACTGGTAACATCCATTTTTAACATGTAGTACTAGCGGACCACATGCAATATAGACGTAACCGATTTAGTTGTTTACCGGCATACATGTATTTATATATAACTCTGTTCAATCTTTCATCTCAAAACGATCAACGTCATGCTGTGAACTATATATGTTCCTGTCGATCTCCTATTTCGTTTTCATTTTTCCATGTGTAAGATTTTCCTTTTTTAACAGTTATTTTACAAGTTATACGTGTTTTATTCAGCGTACATAACAACTCCAAGATCGGTGGCTATTACTGAAAAGGANGGTTTTTTTTTTTTTTTTTTTTTTTTTTTTATTCTATTCTGTTTTCGTTCATAAAGTAATTATTAATTTGTTGAGGGGAAAATATTTTGTCCTGCAGTTAACAGAGAATTATAACATAAAAGCTAAACTTAATCAATATCAACACAAACTAAATGATGTACATCTCAAACATGAGCCTCAATACATGATTATTTACTTGTCACCATTCACGTTTTTATATAGCACAATTACTTCGAGTAGTGTTAATATTTTCGTTGTCGAGGATGATAATAGTACAATGCACTTTCCATTTTACCTTTTCTGGTTCTGTTATTTGTTATTTTGTATGTTATAAAAAAAATGTCTTCTATGTCTATTTCTGCATAAGCAACATCTTTTCACGCTTTCCCCCTACTCCCAGGCCAAGAGACTTAGAGGAAAGAAGATTTGTCATCATAATGCAGGTATATTGAAAGCCACGGTTCTTAACCAAATTTTATACCCCGGATAGAATATTTATACCCCACGTACCTCCCAAGTGATTAACTTCTCCTGTACATAATCATGATTGATATCTGATCTTTATAAACTTGTTGGATTTTGTATTGAAGTCTGATATTTTGCCAGTGTGATGGTGTTGTACTGAAGAACTACTATTTTGCCAGAGTAGTAGCATAATACAGACAGACGATATTTTGCCAGAGCTATGGTATCACAGAAACACTGATATTTTGCCAGTGTGATGGTATTTTACAGGAGAACTAATATTTTGCTAGGGATGTTAGCCAGTGTGATGGTATTTTACAGAAGAACTAATATTTTGCATTATACAGAAAGACGAATGTAAGCCAGTGTGATGGTATTATACTATAAAACTACAATTTGACATGGTAGTAGCAAATGTTAGCCAGGGCTATGGTATCACAGAAACACTGATATTGAGTCAGTGTGGTGGTGGTTGTTGGCCTGTTGTGTACTGTTAATTAATTTTCGCGAATTTTTATTTCATGGATTGGCTTTTAAGGATCCCTGCCCCACTGTGTTTTTTTCCTATATAACTCCCCCACTGTTCGGCCAGGCTATCTCCGTTGACAAGGCATCTGTTAGAGCGAAAGTATAACAATCTGAGCTAAATGGTTAGAATCACGGTCTGGCTGATTTACTTTTTGCTTATTTCATATTTATTGTTTCTAAAAAAAGTCTCGCTAGGTATGGTTTCCTTTTCAGAAGATATTTCAAAAGGCTATAGTAATGACGTAAAACACAATTTCCAAGTTACAGTTTTGGGCTGAGGTACGCGGATCTTTAACTTTTTCCCATAAATAAATTCGTGATGCACGATGCTCGAATTCTCTCGTGAATTAACGCGATAAAGTACAGTATCACTTAGGGCCAAGGTAAAGTTACTTAAGTATCTTGCGTTGCTAAAAAGTAGAAGGATATTCGCTTTTATTATAGTTTGTCGATGTTTCAATACGCCATCCTAAACCTTGCTTAAATCGATATAATGGCAGGTCACTGCCACAGAATATTTATATATTCTTTTCTTTTCTTTTTATTTCTTGATATTTTCATTACGTTAACTTTTTTGATAATTGCATTTGAGAGCTTCATTACTCTTTGTATGAATTTACCAAACTATTCATTCAAAAAATACAAATGATTACAAATGACCTGTTTACCTTGTATTTGTGTTTTTCATTTCACAAGTCTAATTAACTAATTTTAATTTGTCTCACTTTCTGATCAACCGTTATGTATTCAAAGCAGCGTTAAATTAACTATACATGAAGTCCGCACGAGTTTTTCTTTAATAGTAAGCTAATACCTATTAGACTAAAAAAGCGATAAGGGTATGTGATCATGTTTATACTTACTCTGTATAACCATTGGTCTACAAAGATTATTGTTCACAAACAGAGAATGCCTGAAGTTAACTTTCCAATGTTGTATACAAATCAGCACTGTCTAATGCTAGCCTTAATCATGTTTACAAATATATTTTACAGCGCTAGTGTTGCGTTTTAGCTACACGTTGCAGGTATACAATGTAAATGGTTTACAAAGACGGAATGTCGGACGCTGGTGTTGCATTTTATATACCCCTTACAGAAAGGTTAGTTGAACAGGTTTTTCGCTCTGTTATCTCATTAGATTTAATGTTAATTAAAATTGGATTGTTTAATTACTGACAACAACAAAAATGAAAGAATAATGGTAGAAATAAAATTTCTTGAAATTAAGGATTCTGTGATGCGGCAAACAGCCAATATGTATTATTTTGGTATTAGTGACTGCGTTTACCAACCGCATTGTGCAACACAATGACGTACAGCACGCGCAACTAAATTTGAAATTGTTTGTTTAAATTGCACAATTGATTGACACATTTCTTTCACATTTGACTACAGAGTGGTGTATTCAATACGGAGAGTAGAAATATATAAATTGGTGCAGTATTTTAGCTAGTGGCTTGTAGAGATACCATGTAATATGAGCCAACGTGCATCATCAACACTGGGAGGTCGGTTGTTTGTGAGAAACAGTAGGGAAATAGTCAATGTATGACGTCATATCAATTATAGCATCACATTGTTTTCTGCCAAATGCAGAACTTTCCTTTGAAATATTTTCATACGTTCCATCTTGTATAAATTTAATTTAAATTAATCATGTACTACATTGTTCGAACTACGTAAAACAGTTCATGTGATAAATATTTTTGTTTGAAGTGCATGATGTATTTTTTTTTTTTTTTTTTTTTTTTTTTAAATGAAAAGTGCTTTACTAACATGGTCACGTCACATCTGACATTATGTTGCTTGTCGTTTGAACATAAGTTTTCCTTTTGTGTTTTATATTTGTCGTCCTAGGTAACATCGGTTCAGTGGTTTTTCATAAGTGTACTTAATTAAACACTTGACAAGATGTTAAAAGCTCCAATTTTATTTTAAAGGAGAACGCTCGTTGAATAATGAACGTTGTCTTATAAATGTTTTAGTGATATTGAAATCGTGGAAATGTACGACGATACACGTCAGAACATGTTACCTGTTGGGTGGGATTTAACTATATTTTGGTTACCATGAAAAATATTATGTTTCAGAGTGAAAAATTCGCCAAACTCTAAGATACAAACTCCTTTTAAAATGACTTAATTTCCGAATGTAAACAAAACAAAATTTCGGATTTATTTTATGAATTAGTTATTCATTTAATTACTTACCGGCCAAGTCTGTACTAGAGTTGTTTTATCGTAATCCGGCTAGTTTTGCTCACGTAAATTATTATATGTATTAATATTTGTACATACGATTTAATTACATACACACCGAAATTATCCACTGGGTGAAACTAAAGACGTATTGTACAGAGCTCTATTGTCACACATTGTTGATTAAGTGTATAAATGATGTTTTGTGCTTGAATCAGTTTTAATGGTAGAGCACTTGTTTGTGATAATCGGTATTTGTACATGTCTAGCGTTATGATGTATTATTCGTTATCACAAACACAACGGTAATGTTTTGGACGAAATGATTATTTTTGAGAGTGTTGTTCAATAAACATTTATGCAATGTTCGTTTTATTTCTTTTATATCGACGCCCAGGTCAACGTCTCCTCTGATTTCAAACCGAGGCCTGCTTCGTTAAAGAGAATGTCAAGAAGCTGACATATGTTTAGATGGTATCGACATTAGTTAATGGTGCTTTTCAGGAAACGCACCAGCTGAA